AGTGTCCCCTGCACCCACACTGTGGGACCTGTGGCCTGCATGGCACAATCAGGGGACTTCTGAGTTCTGGATGCTAAGATTTGGCAACCAAGGAATCCTAGGTTTAAGCGATAGTGTTTACTCATGCGACCCAGGGCCAGAGATCTAACATCTCAGAGCCTCAATTTTCTCCTCTGTAAAATGGGGATAGAATACTGATATGCCTAAGCTGTAGTGAAAAGTACAGGAGATATGTACAAAGCAGCTGATCCATGAAGGAGCTCAGTAAATCTCTTTCCCTTCCTCCAAATACCTTGCCCTTCCTCTGACAGCACAGCCTAGAGGTAGGAGTACTTCTGATGTAGAAACTGGGCTATTTTTTCCTTTTGGCAGGCAGCCACTCTCTCAGGAAGAAGTAATTAACCCCAGTGTTAAATGAGAGGCCTGAGAAAATGACGAGGTTCTACCCTCAGAATTCTTCATCCATGGCTGAGGCTTGAAATTCCTCTGTTAGAGACTCATTCCTTTGGCTTATACCTTGTTTTCTGTTAAAATGTAATTATTCAGATTCCCATAAAGTAGACATTACTAATCCCATTTTATAGTAAGAAACCTAAGGTTCAGAGGGGTAAGTGCAGAGAGCCCATCAGTGGTAGAGCTAGGGAACAGAATTCAGGGCTTCAACACCCACACTGGTGCCAAACAGCTTAGAAAGACGGGACCCTTGAGATTTATCAATCACTCATACCTCAGAGTAAATCCATTTTAGATCTCTTTCTGAGCACAGGTTTTAATGATGGAGTAGGGAGGGAAGAAAGGTAATTAGAAGGTCACTGAAGGATCTGGGCATTGAGAAAGGTAGAGGGCAACTTTGCCCATGTCCTGCTTCTGTTCTGGCCTGTTCCTCATCCCAGCAGGTGAGAGCCACTGTTGAAACCCAGAGTCCGGACTGGGCTGGGGCACAACATCCTTACCCCTGGGAGTGTTAGAACAGGATGGCTGAGGCCCTTAGCCCTGCTTTCTCTAATTCCCTTCACCCACATGTGGGGGTCTGGAGAGGCCTGCTGTCTCTCTCCTGCGCCCGGTAGGCCCACTGAGCCCAGGAAGATGAGAAGAAGCTGGCAGAGACCCAGCAGCATAGTGCTCAGCTGGGCAGACAAGCCAGGTGTGTGGGCCCATGCAGCTTGTCACCAGAAACCTGGGACCTGTCTCTTTCAAAGGGCTTGGTACCTGTGAGTATCTGTGTGCCTCCCAGCAGCTCTAGCTGGGACCTCTGTGTGGGGAGGGGCTATCTCTGCCTTGGCCCTCTCAGTGACCAACCTAAGCTGCCTCTCTCTCTCTCCCTCCCCCTCTCATTCTTTGTTTCCCTCTCTACCACCTGGTTCCCTGGAATGAGGAGACTACTTTGGGCTTAGTCCACAGATCAGCTCTAGGGAGTAACCTGTGTTACTCCCTGTGTGTGGCTGGGCTGGGGGGATGGGTTTGGGGAGCAGGCTTGACCACCTGGGGCCATTAATGGTCCCCTGGTGTCAGGCTGACTCTCTCTGCTGCCACTTGTGTCCAACTAAAGCTTCGTATGTACATGAGCCTCTGTGATCCTTGCCTCTGCCACTATACTGGACTGGGCAGCCTTGATTCAACCTACCAGCCAGAGGCCCTGGTTCACCAGGCCTCTCCACACTGGAAGTTCTTCCTAGTATCTTACCAGATCCTTCCTATTACAACAGGAGCTAACCCCCTTGTCTCAGCTCTGCCCTGAGACAAGGGCCAATGTGGAGCATATGCAGGGACACATATTCATGTGACTCTCCTGTCCCTGGCTGGGCTTGGCCCGGGCTGGGCCTGTGTCTGACTGGGCCTGAGCCATCCCCTCCTGACACCTATGTCTGAGCTGACTCCTAGTTTGACCCCAGTGGGTGGACAGGAGGGTCCACCTGGTTAGTGTAGTTAACACTACACTATCAGCCTGATTACCTCACAACCTTGTCTGTCTACTGTACAAACAGGGAGATTGAAGTTCAGAGAGTGTGGGAGCAACTTTCCTCGCAAGTCCCCCCGTGTGCCACAGATGAGAGTAAACATGACAGAGACACGATGTGATCTGCTTGGGGAGGAGAAGTGGCCATTTTCCCAGAGAAAAAAGGCCTTGAGCAGTGGCCAGTTTCTCAGGGGAAAAAGGCCTTGAGCCCCTTCTTCCAAGGCCTTTTATTGGGTTCTAATACACAGGAATACAGGGCAGCAAGGATCAAACAGTAGATAACATTACAAAGAGATCTGAGGGCTTAGTCCCAGTCAGAGTATGTCAGGAACAGAGTTTTAGGGCTTCCTGCTTGAACCCTTAACATGTGAATGAAAGCACTCTTAGCAGAGCAGATCTCACAGGTTTATCAGGAAGTCTTTGTGATGCCAGATTTTCCCCAGGACATGCTCTAGCAAGGCAAGGAGCTGCACTCCTCCCCATCGGGTATTCAGGCTTAAGGGGATTAGAGCCAGGAAGTGCTTCTCCCAGAGAACATGTCAAAGCCAGGGGGTGAGAGTCCATTGCTCTTTGTTGCAGCCTCCCCCCCAGTCCTTCCATGAAGGCCTCCCAAGTGGTTGTCTGGCTTAGGTTGCCCCCCACTGTGAGGGGTCTTACCCATAATTGACTTCCGACCAAGCTTTGGGGACAGGGAAAGGAAACCAAGGCAGCATTTGCTACCAGAGCTTTGTCTCCTGGGGCTCGAATTCCAAAGGTGGTCACTAGCCCTTAGTCACAGGGGGTCAAGTTACAATTTCTAGAACCAGGTAGAGCAGACCACAACAAGAGAGGAATGAGATTCACCTGACATCACACAGGCCCTCTGTACCCAGCAGGGTGGCCATCCCCCGATTCATGGGGCCAAACCCGAAGAGAACCAGAGGCCCAGCAGAGGCAGACTCCTCCCTCTCCATCAGCACTTGCGCCCTCTAAAACTGGACATAGGGCTCTCATTCTGCCCACCCCTACACCACTCCATTCACAGATTGATAAAACACGCCCACAGACTGCACAAGACACATGTATCGTGAATGGGGTCCCAGGAACCCTCCACATGCCAAAAGACAGCACAACCCCCCATGCCTGTGGGCGCACGCGGCAGGCTGTGCCAGTCCCTTTGCTCCAGGCTTTAGCTTTCTGCCCACAGATAGCTAATATGTCTGCACACTTACATAAATCTGCACATGTCCTGGCAGACACTCCCAGGGGGCGTAAACCTGGGTGAGGAAGACAGATAAACTTTGAACCTGTTACAGGCTGATGGCACCTGCTGCTTGAACTGTAAATCCAGAAGGTCAAACTTCAGCTGAGGTGTCCTGCATGACTCACTGCTGTCCTAATCTCTGTCCTCAGGGGTGGCAGGGGAATGGAATGGGGACACTGAGCACCGACCCCAAGCTGGACCTTGCCTGACTCAGGAGCAGGACCCAGGCTGATGGTCAGTGTTGCAGAGAGTCAGTCTTTCAGGGCTAACATGCGGCTAATGCTTGATGGGCACTGACTATGCACCAGGCACTGTTCCCAGCATCACACAGATTACCTCATGGAAGCCTCACAGCCTAGGAGGCAGCTGAGGCTCAGAGAGGATAAAAGGCTTGCCCAAGGTCACACAGACAGTGAGTGAGTGGGGAGCCCAGATGTGCAACCATGGAGTCTGATTCCAAAATCTGAACCCTTAACAACTACTACAAGACAGCATGGGCTGCTTCAGGGAGAAGGAGCTTCCTGACATTGGAGATGACCATGTGGGGACTGCGCGGACAGGGTGTAAGCAACAGAAGGCCTTTTAGCTGCCTTCATGCCATGGGACATCAAGCCACTTCTAGAATATGAAAAATGGAGACATGGTAAATCAGGATCAGCACAATGTGGTTTATTCTAATGGCAGGTAACCAGGAGCCACCTACATGCTGGGCCCTGTGCCCAGGAAGAGCAATACAATGGATTTCATCTCCTAGTCACTCCAGTGGCATGATCCCCCTTTGTGTGTCCGTGTTTGTGACCTCATTTGGAGAGAATGTTAGAAGTCCAAGTAGAAGACCTCCTGGGCACCCACACCATCTTGCCGCCCCCTAGTGAGAGACCCTCTGAGAATCCCAGGTCGCGAGATTCACCTTAAGCTGACCATCCCCATCCAGGGAGTGTAGCAGGGGGAGGTGGTCAGGAAACAGGCCCTGGGCTGCCCTGCCCATCACCCTGTGTTGTAACCCCCTGGCAAGCTGCAGATGGCCAAGTCTGGCTCTGCCACACTCACTGGAAGGGCAAGCATCCTACCGTACTCCCTTCTTTGGTCCCAATCAGGAAAACAATGTTTTTAATGACAGCAACACTTTTTTAGTGCTTACTCTGTGCCAGGGACTATACTACCCACTTTACCAGAAACAACCCATTTAATATACCCAACAATGCCATTTTCACGGGAGAAACAGCTCAGAGTTGGACCAACCTGAATCACCGGGCCAAGGTGACATGTTTGCAGCAGTGAGACATGAAGCAAATTTACACTTAATTCTTCAACATGGAGTCCTGCCCGAAGCCTCACAAGGCCCTTCCCCGTGACTGCACCTTGACCAGAGCCCTGGAACTTAGCTCACTGCCCTGATCTGTGTCCCTGGTGATTCCAGTCCAGTGTCTGGTGTTCTGAGATGGAGTCAGAATTGGGGGATTTGGGGATGGAGTGCTCTCTCCCCCGGGGTAGAGGTAGACAGAGGAGGTAGACAGAGGAGGTCTCTGGCACAGACCCGGAGCTGCCAGCAGGGCCTCTGGGGTATCAGTTTGGGGCTCAGGCATTACCTGGACCTCATTTCCTCTATAGTTCAAAGTTCGCTGGACTTCTCTTCTGTACCGGGAGGGGCACAAGTCCCAGTCTGCTGTCAGCTTCCATATCGTCATAGGGTCACAAAAGTCCAAGAGGCCTCCTGGGAATGAATGTGTCACCTTCCAGCGTGGAGTTCCACTGGGAGGGGACATGGGGAGGGCCGCCTGGTAGGGGTTTAAATGTCCGGCTGGCTCTGAGCTTCAGTCAGTTCAAACAGCAGCACAGGTGAGCAGCCTGAGAACCTCCCTTCTGGCTCCCTGATTCCAGAAGGGATCCTGTGTGTAACAAGACTCCTCCAGCTCAGCAGGGAGCCCAGGATGTCTCTGAAGGCTGTGGTCCTGACCCTGGCCCTGGTGGCTATCACTGGTAAGTAGGAGCTGCCTTTGGATGCTGCATCAAGTGGGGCAGGGGGAAGAGTCTGAGGCCCAGACAAGAGGACATGTAGTTCCAAGTGCCTGTTGGCCACTGGCAGGATGTGAGGGCTGCTCAGGTGCCACCTGGCTCACAGGAGAGCTGGCCCGTTCATAGCCATAGGCCCACAGGCAGTGGTGCTATACCAATTCCACATGTCCCTGTGGCCTCCCACCTCGCTGAGAGGGAACTCGGCTTCCCCACCATCATCCGGTCTATAGCACAGGGCTAGTGTGTAAGGACAAGGAAGGAGACTGATTCTCATGAATTGCTCTGTTTCCTGCCTAGGTGCTCAGGCTGAGGTCAGTGCCGACCAGGTGGCCACTGTGGTGTGGAACTATTTCAACGAGCTGAGCAGCAATGCCAAGGAGGCTGTGGAACATTTCCAGAAGTCTGAGCTCACCCAGCAGCTCAAGTAAGAGGGGCACAGCTCGCAGGGCAGGGCTACTTAGAGGCCATACAATGTGTTGCTCAGAGGCAGAAGACCCGATGCCCACTGCCCTGTCACTGACTCGTTGGGTGACCCTGAAGTCTCTGGAGCTGGTGTCCACATATGGAAACAGGAAGGTTGAACTGAATAATCCCTCAGGTGTCTTCCTGCTTGAACTTTCTTAATGTGACGAATGGCAACATTTTCTCACTGAGGCTCATGGAAGAAAGGGAAGGAGGGAACTGTCATGTGAACCGGGTTCTAATGCATTCCAAAAGGACAGGCCTCTGGGAAGTCGTAGGAAGGGAGGTCAGGATATTTGGGAAACTCTGTAGGTGGGCACATGCAAGGAAACCAGCACCTGTGTCACTAGAAGTCCAGAACGCAGCGTTCTGTTAGAGAATGAGATCTACATCACAGCACACCTCAGCAGGAAAGGTCCTCAAAGTCCACATTTCACAGACAAGGAGAGGAAAGCAATTGGCTCAAGGTCATGTTATTCTGTGGTTCAGATTCAGGGGAGATTCAGAGACGCAAGTGCAGTGTAATAACTTGGTCTATTACACGCCGTCTCTCAAATCATGATCCACCATAGGAAAAGCCACAGGGAAAAGATGGGTGAACTTGGGACTCCTGAACACTCACCTGACCTAGGCAGGTGTGTATAAGGTGAGTGCTATATCAGGAAACAAGGTCCTGGCATGTAGTGACAAATGTAACCTTAGCGCCCTTGTGCTCTTCTTTGGCAGCTCCCTCTTCCAGGAAAAACTTGGGGAAGTGAATGACTACGCGGCTGACCTGCAGAAGAAGCTGGTGCCCTTCGTCACAGATCTGCACGAACGCCTGACCAAGGACTCTGAGAAGCTGAAGGAGGAGATTCGGAAGGAGCTGGAGGAGCTGCGGGCGCAGCTGCTGCCCCATGCCGACGAGGTGAGCCAGAAGATTGGGGACAACGTCCGCGGGCTGCAGCAGCGCCTGGGGCCCTACGCAGATGAGCTGCGCACCAAGGTCAACACACAGGCTGAGCACCTGCGGAGCCAGCTGACTCCCTACGCGCAGCGAATGGAGACTGTGCTACGTGAGAATGCGGGCAACTTGCACACCTCGATGACACCCTTCCTCGATGAGCTCAAGGTCAAGATCGACCAGAACATGGAGGAACTCAAGGGGCACCTCACGCCCTACACGGACGAGCTCAAGGTCAAGATCGACCAGAACATGGAGGAGCTGCGCCGCAGCCTGGCTCCCTATGCGCAGGACGTCCAGGAGAAGCTCAACCGCCAGCTGGAGGGCGTGGCCTTTCAGATGAAGAAGAACGTAGAGGGGCTGAAGGCAAAGATGTCGGCAGATGTGGAGGAGCTGCGGCGGAGGCTGGTGCCCGTGACCGAGGACCTGCGTGGCAAGCTGAGCGGCAATACCGAGGGGGTGCAGAAGTCACTGGCCCAGCTGAGCAGCAGCCTGGAGCGGCAGGTGGAAGAATTCCGCCGCGCTGTGGGGTCCTATGGGGAGAACTTCAACAAAGCCTTGGTGCAGCAGGTGCAGGAGCTCAAGCAGAAGCTTGGTCCCCAGTCGAGGGATGTGGAAGACCACTTGAGCTTTCTGGAGAAGGATCTGAGGGACAGGGTCAACTCCTTCTTTAGCACCCTCAAGGAGAAAGAGAGCCAGGACAAGCCCCTGGCACTCCCAGAGCAGGAGCTGACAGTGGCCCTGGCAGAGAGCTGAGCTGCCCCTGGTGCTCCAACCCCATCACTGACACCTGTCCCACCACCTGTCTGTGTCCCAAAGCAATTCTTCTACGTGCTTGAGGATACATGTCCTGTGGCAAGTGACACTATCTCTTGCTACTCAATAAAACTGCTGAGAAACTAACTCAGTCTGGTCGCAGTGTAACTTCTTGGTATTCCTGGGACTGAGGTGGGGGTGAGACCACTGCTTGGCAAAGCTTAGCAGGTGCAGTTGGGCATACCTTGGAGGGCACCCGGGCTGGGGAGATGAGCCTGTGGAAGGGGTGAGGGCAGGGTGTGGGGAGTGCGCTAAGGGGAAAGTAGAACAAGATGTCCCGCGTTATCTGTGGATGAAATAGGCAATCCACTTATATTCCCTCAGCCGTCAAATATGTATTTAGTGCCAGCAATGTGCCAGTCAGTGTTCTAGGCATCCAACAATGAGAAGAACAGCTTTTGTGGAGTGTCAGTCTGACACTGTGCTTCACTCTAAGGCGTCCATCTAGGTAAGCAGGACATGGTCCCTGACTTTGGAGAGCTATTGGCACACTACACCCTTAACTTGACTGATTTATGTGCTCTAACCCCACTCCCATTATAAAATCAATTCATGCTTACTTCCGAAATTTCTTGACTGATAAACCCATGGTCTCCAGAGTTGAGAGATGAGGCCTAGAGACGTGGATGACTCCTGGGAGGAGGGATGAAGCAGGGCCCGGACCTGTGGGCCCTCCTGTGCTCTCCCAGGTGCCTCCTGCCGGCGGGGCTGGGCCGGGCTTGCTGACACTGAAGCAGAGAGCGGGAGAAGAGAGGTCCGGTCTGGCCAGGCCCCAGGCAGTCTCCTCAGCACAGCCAGTCGTGCGGCCTCTAGAGTGGGCTTTCCCTCGGAGCTTCAGAGAAGAACCAGTCCACGCCCATGTCCCAGATGACTTACATCCTGGCTGTTACCTCTGACCCCAGGTCTGCAGTTCCAACCCGACACCCCTTTCCTTCCCAGAGTGGAGCACAGGCCTTTCAGAGCTGTTTTTAAGGACACCCAGAACACACCCTGGGGGCAGTGTCCCGGGGAGAGTTTTCTGGGGTCTCCTCTCTCCATCCTTCCCTCCCAAGGTTCTCTCAGGACAGTGGCCCCACAGTCATGGTCTGGTCCATGCTTATCCCGCTCCAGCCCTGGTGTAGCCTGACTATGTGCCTATTGGGAAGCATCCCACTTGAGAATCAGGCAAACTTGATTTTGAATCCTGGGTTTTCCAGTGACTGCTGCGTGATTTGAGGCAGATTATCCGGCCTCTTTTGGAAGACAGGAATGGTAACGCTCAGCTCACAGTCTTGCTGTGAGGGTTTGATGGGATGGTGCATGTGAAGCCCTCAGTACAATATCAGGTAGAGTAAATGTGCAATAACTGTTTCTATGTTGATGCTGCCCCTGCTGTAGCACATAGATGTGCAATAAATATGATTTCCTCTCCCCACTCACTCCTTATGCTCCACTGATGCCAGGTCACATGAGGCCACCAGAGCTGGCCAAGAGCAGACCCCGGGCCTTCCTAGCTCTGGCTGCTGTCACTCCCACACTTGGGGTCAGTAAGGCTGCTGCCGCCACCTGCACACCTGGCCCACTAGGAGGGCAGGAACATATCTGTGAAAACAACTTGATAAATCACCAGGCACCTGGAAGTTTACTGGCTGGCTTAAGGACCGAACAGAACAAGGCACTAAAAGGAAGTAGGACAGAGGGAAAGCAGGGCTCTGAGTGGGTCTGGATGCTCCAGAGATGTTCTCAGACCTCACCTGGGGGCCATCAGGTTTAGCGCCTCACTGTCTCCCAGAGCCTGGTCCTTAGTTCGGGTCTTTGATAGTTTTCCCCACAGTCCCCCAGGTCTACAAGGGTCCTGCCATGGCCCTGGTCCCACTGGATGAGGACTGCCTTCTCTTTCCTACACCAAGATTTCTTCCCTGGCTTTCAGGCTCCTGGGCTCTGACCTGGCAGGTATCCACTGGCAGCTGCGTCACTTCTGGCTGTGCAGCCTCAGCCTTCCCTGGTTTATTTGTGGAATTTCCCACTTAGGATTCTTGATGGGTGTCAAAGTCTGCCACCCATGAGAAACACAAAAGTGCCAGCCTCTTGCCTTCCAGCCTCCCTTCCTCTAGACATGGCACTGGGCCTTTACTCAGCAGATCAGACAGAGTGCCCCAGACTCTGAGTGAGGAGCTGGCTCAAAGCAACAGAGAGCATGGAGAGTTCTTTCTGGGATGGGCAAGACCGTGGGGCTGCAGCAGCTGGTTTGCAGAGGGCCAGAGGCTCAGAACAGGGCTCTCCTGACTCACCAGTGGCAGCAGTGCTGTCCCCACAGGTCTAGTTTTGTGGAGTGATCGTGGCCATGCTTCTCCCTTAGCTTCCCTTATTCTTGTCTATTTTCCAAATCAAGTACTCCAAGTTTTCTCAAAATTTCCACAAATATTTGAATAAATTGGGTTATTTTTGCTTACACCTTCCAGAATAGGTTTCTGTGACTAGCAGTTCAGAGCCTCAACATGCCCTTTCTCTCTTGTGGTGGTTTCTCCTGCTGTGGCCCCTGGAAGCTGCGCCCCATCCCTGACCTGTTCCAGTCAGTCCTGCTGACTGCTCTGATGTATACTTAGTCTTCATTAGGGCTGGTTCCATCCTTCAGGGAAGTCAGTCTTCTCTTTTTTTCTAAGCTACTCTTTGGGCTGTGCTTCCTGTGTCTCAGTCAATGCAGGGGACATCTCTAGCACCTAAGAAAAATGGACAGCTGAGATCAGGAAATGGCCATGTGATGCTCAGCTTGGTCAGCCAGCTCTGTTCACCCTTCTCTGAGGTGCTCTGGCAACTGCGCTCAGGTCTCCCCTGAGGACCTGAGTTCATGAAAAATGCTCTAGGTCCTGGCCTGGGAGCTCAGGTGGTTAGAGCGTCATTCTGATGCACCAAGGTTGGGGGTTCAATCACCGGTCAGGGCACAAACAAAAATCAACCACTGAATGCATAGATAAGTGGAACAGCAAATTGGTGGGGTCTTTTTTTCTCTCTCTCCCTTCTTCTCTCTTTCTAAATTAATAAAAAAAATAATTGGGGAATCTATTTATGAGATGTCCAACATATTTCAAACAATAAAGAAGCTGGGTCCTGAATATTATGCATTTATATAACCCCATTAAGAAACACTAGTGCCTATTTGTATGTGAATATTCGGGAGGTGAAAAGTGGGTAGATCCAGAGTTCTACTTGGAGAGAGAAGTGTGCTGGCAGTCCATGCTGGCTACTGAAGTGGAGACCCTGAGGGACTGGCTGGCAGAGCCCATGAGATAGAGATGATTGCCACTGCTCTGTGCTTCCCCTTAGTGGTGACGCATAGTGGGGACTGAGGGGAGGTCACAGAAGGGAAAAGAGGAAATAAGAAAGGAGGCTTAAGTCCCCCCCACTGGCCACCAACCACCACCAAAAGATGGCCAATGAAAAATGTCTAGTAGCAGAAGGTTGCAGAATTTTTAAATGTAGGATAGGCAATAAAGCTGACACTTTATGTTAAGAGTTTTTAAAAACTATGATATATGTACCATATCCTGTCATGTAATCCTCACATCACAATGTGACCTCAAAGATGCAGTGAGAAAGATGTAAGTGAGAAAAAGGCAGCTCAGCATGGTGAGGCACATTATCTAACTAGTAGTGGAACTGAGGTTGGAACCTGGGCCACCCAGTTATAGAACTGCAACTACCAGGCTGTGGTGCCTCTAGGGTGAGCCCGACTTAATGAGTAATGCAAGCTACTCATCAAGTAGTACCAAGACCCCCTAAAAGAAGGAGGAACACCCAGCACAGAAAGGCAGGCGGGTTCAGCTCAATGACATTTGAATCCCAGTAACTTGATTAAATGGAGACAGACTTTAAGATAATGTTTTAGTACTACTTTTTACTGTGGGAAAACATATGAAACACAAAATTTGCCATTAAAAAATTTTAAAGTGTATTATACAGTGACATTAATTATATTCACAATGTTGTAAAACCATTACTACTCTCTCCAACATTTCTCATCACACCAAATAGAAACTATGTACCCATCGAGTGATATCCCATTACCACTGCTGACTCCAGCCCCTGTTAATCTCTAGTCTACTTTCTGTCTCCATGAGTTTGCCTCTTCAACACAGTTCAGGTAAGGGTCTTTTTGTGTCTGGCTTCTTTCACTTAGCACGTTATTAAGTTTTATGCATGTTTCAGAATTTCCTTCCTTTTAGCAGGGGTGTCCAACCTTTTGGGGTCTCTGCACCATATTGGAAGAAGAGTTGTCCTGAGTCATACATTAAATATACCGCAACATGTAGTCATAAAAAAAATCTCATAATGTCTTAAGTAAATTTACGATTTTGTGTTGGGCCACATTCATAGCCATCCTGAGTTGCACATGGCCTGTGGACCGCAGGTTGGACTCCCCCTGTTAAAGAATGAATAATATTCCATTTTGTGTATATACCATATCCTGCTTATCCATTCATCTATTCACAGGCACTTGGGTTGCTTCCACCTTTTGGCTATTATGAATAATGCTGCTATGCATATTAGTGTAGAAATATCTCCTCAAGTCCCGGCTTTCCATTTTTTTGTGTAGGTACTCAGAAGTGGGATTGCTGGATTGGATGGTGATTCTATGTTTAATTTTTTTTTAAATCACCATGTTGTTTTTTATAGCAGAGGTACTATTTTACATTCCCACCAACAGTGCACAAGGCTTTATTTCTCCCCATCCTCTCCAACACTTGTTATTTTCTGGGTTTTTTAAAATACTAGGCATTTTAACAGCATTACTTTAAAAACTAGAAATGAATGAATGAACAAGTAAATATTCACCAGAGTTTCTCCGAGATCCAGGCCACACCCCTGGCAAGACTGAAGTACTTGCACACAGGAGAACCAAGTAGTGAGAGTCCTCAGCGAGTGCAAAGGAAGGGCGTTCTGCTGGACTCTGGGGCAGCCCACATCAGTATCTCCCAACAGTTTCCCCAGAGCTCAGCACAATTTCAGGCCTGAAGCTTCTTGAGTTACCTCTGGTTTCTCAGGTGACCTGTAGATAATGGTCTTCTTGTGGACATGGATTAGTGCCCCCAAGAGACTCTCAGCCAGCA